AAATATAATAACTAAATTGAAGGTTTTTCTAAAGGAGTTCAAAATAAGACTAGAACAGAAAGAAAAAAAAAATCAGTGAAGTCGAAGACATTGAAAATTATAGAGACTGAGGAGTAAAAAGAAAAAAAAGACTGAAGAAAAGTGAACAAAGCCTAAAGGACTTGTGAGACACCAGCAAGTGGACCAACATATGCATTATGGAAGTCTCAGAAGAAGAGAGAAAGGTTATTTGAAGAGAACTTCTCAAACGTAGGTAATATGTAAATATACAAATCTAAGAAACTCTGAATAATAAACTCCAAGAGATCTACACCAAGACATTTTAATCAGACCGTGAAAGCCAAAAGCAAAGAGGAAATAATAAAAACAGCAAAAAAAAAAAAAAGTGACTTATCATTTACAAAGATTCCCCAATAAAACTGTGGTTGGATTTCCCAGCAAAACCCTTGCATGCTAGAAGGTAGTGGGATGATATATTTAATGGGCTGAAAGAAATAAACTGTCAACTTAAATTCTACCTCCAGCAAATATGTAAGTCACGAATAAGAGAGAAATTAAAACATTTCCAGACAAAGATACCTGAAGGAGTTTATCACCAATAGACCTATACAAAAGCAAATGCTAAAAGAAATCCTTAAGTCAAAATGAAAGGACACTAAGCAGTAACTCAAAGATCTCTAGTAAAAGAAAATGTATGAGCAAATATAAAAACAAAAGTAGCATAGTAATTTTGGTTTGTAGCCCCACTTGCTATTTTCTACAGGATTTAAGAGACAAAACCAAAAAAAATAATTATAAATATTTGTAATTGGGTACACAATATGTAAAGATGCACTTTGTGAAATTAATAACATAAAATGTTGAGAAAGGAGCAGAGTTGTAAAGAAGAAGCATTTATGCATGCAGTTGAAGTTAATTTGGTGTTAATTTAGTAAAGTAGATAGTCATAACATTAGGATGCATTCATAATCCTCATAGTAACCACGAATAAAATATCTAGAATATAAGCAATAGGAAATAAGAAAACAGTCAAAATACTTCACTATATAAAAAGTCAACTAAAGAAAAATGAAGGCAGTAATCTAGAAAATGAGGGACAAAAAAAATTATAAGAGGTACAAAAAAACAATAAATAAAATGCTAAAATGCTTACAAGCAATTCTTCAAACATAAATAAATTCAACACCCTAATCAAAAGACACAGATTGGCAAAATGTATTTAAATAAGCAATTCTTCAAACGTAAATAAATTAAACACCCTAATCAAAAGATGTAGATTGGCAAAATGGATTTAAAAAAACAGGACCCAAGTATATGTTGTCTAAAAAATATAAGGACATGCAGAAATTGATAGTAAATTGATGTAAATAAAAAAAACCATTCTACATAAATAGCAATAAAAGAAAAGAGCAATGTTGACTATACTAATATCAAACAAAAAAGATATTAAGTCAGGAAATGTTACAAGAGGCAAAGAAGAACATTATATACTGATAAAAGGTCAATACAGCAAGCAGATGTCACAAGTATAAACATATATGCACCAACCACCAGAGTTACTAAATATATGAAATAATCATTAACAGAATTGAAGGCAGAAATAGAGAACTCTGCGACAATAGTAGGAGACTTCAATACCTCTTTTTTAAAAAATAGAACAATCTGACAGAAAATTAATAAGGAAATACAAGACTTGAACAACACTATAGACTAATTAAACCTAACAGACATGTACTCGGCAATCGCTGAATATATATTTTTCTCAAGTACACATGAAAAGCTCTCCATGATAGACCATATGTTAGGCTGTGAAATAAGCCTTAATAAATATAAAAAGATTGAATCATACAAAGTATCTTTTTTTATTACAATGGATGAAACTAGAAAACCAGGAAATTAAATTGGCAATTAAACAATACACTCTTAAACAACCAATGGGTCAAAGATTCACAAATGTTTTGATTTTTCACAAAGGAAATGAGATAATATCTTGAGGCAAATGAAAATAAAAATACAACATACTCAAAGTTATGAGATGCATCAAAATCAGTGATAAGCAGAAAATGTATAGTTTTAAATGCTTTCACAAAAAAAAAAATAAAGAAGAAGAAGAAAGGCCTCAAATCAACAACCTAGCTTCATACCTTAAGGACATAGGAAAAGAAGAACAAACTAAACTCAATGTTAGCAGAAAGACGGAAATAATAAATATTAGAGCAGAAATAAAGGAAATAAAGAATATCAAAACAATATGAAAAACAAGAGCTGGCAATTTGAAGAGATCAACAAAATTGACAAATGTTTAGCTAGATTGACTAAGAAAAAGTTAAGATACAAATAACAAAAATCAGAAAAGAAATAGTGGGCATTACTGCTGATTCTACAGAAATAAAATGAGTTATAAGAGAGTACTATGAACAACTGTACCCCCAACAAATTGGATAACCTAGATGAAATGGAAAAATTCCTGGAAACACACAACCTACAAAGACTGAATCATGAAGAAATAGAAAACATAAATATATCTAAAATTGATAAGGAGATTGAATTAGTAATCAAAAACCTTCCAAAAAAGCAAAGTCCAGGACCAGATAGCTACACTGTTGAATTTTACCAAATATTTAAAGAATGATTAACATCAGTGCTCAAACTCTTCCAAAAATTTGAAGACGATGGATGACTTCCTAATGTCTTCTACGAAGCCAATATTATCCTGATACCAAAGCCAGGCAAAGGCACTACTAAAAAGAAAAAAAATTATAGACCAATATCCTTTATGAATATTAATGCAAAAAATATTTGACAAAATGCTAACGAACTGACACTATTTGAGATTTCTAGTTTCCAGTCCACCATGTAAGAAGCTTCGAAGTTGACACTCCATTCTTACAGCAAGTAAAAACTGAACAAACTTAAAAATCAACTCATCTTCTTATAATCATAAGAAAAGTGAGGTCACTAGGTAAATGTCCCTAAATTAGACAAAAAGGAGAATACAAAGAATCACCACTTACCAAAGCAGAAATTAATAAATAGCAACATTTGAGGGAGTGCTAGGATAGGAAACCATGAATTGTAACTGACGAACTGCTGGAGACTCCATGTGGACAAGTCTGAAACATAAGAACCTCAGAGGCCAACAGGCATCAGCAGCCCCCAACTTTTGAGAGTTTTACTACCTAGAGTTCTACCAGATTATTGCAGTGAATATTGGAGAAAAATGCTCTTATGTTTCTGGCAAGGGAATGAAAAAGAAACCATCATGAAATATGCCAGAGAATTCTATTATTCTTGTAACATGTGCTCATAATAGAAACTATTTAGCCAGAGGCTAACATTCTGGGGTTTTATCAAAGGCTACATAACATGAGGGAGTAGAAATAACCAATTCCAGCTGGCTTTAGCCTTCCATGGAAGAAAGGAAATGCTCAGCTTCAGTCCCAGTTAGCCTTCCACATGAGAGAAGGGAAATACTAAACTCCAGCCCTCTCTAGCCATTCTGTCCTTCCTAAAGTGGGGTAAGGGGACTAAGATGCATGTGTCAAGTTCACAATCTAAGGTACAGGCTCACTAAAACACTAAGACCTAAACATAGGACTGCAGATGTTTTGTTTCCCCCACATACACCTTATTACCACATTATGAAACTTGATGGACAGACTAAAAGGAGAAAACACAGTTTGAAGAGACAAAGCAGCATCAAACCAGACTCAGATATAATAGGGACTTTGAGATAATCAGATTGAGAATTAAAAAAACAATTACAATTAATGTGCTAAGAGCTCTAATGTAAAAAGTAGACAACATGCAAAAATAGATGGGTAATACAAGCAGAGAGATGGAAAGTCTAAACAAAGAAAAACTAGAGATCAAAAACACTATAAAAGAAATGGAGAATGTCTTTGATGGGTTTATAAGTAGACTGGACACAGTTGAGGAAAGAATCTCTGAGTCTGAGGATGTGTCAATAGAAATCTCCAAACCTAAAATATAAAGAAAAAAAAAAGACTGAAAAAAAAAAACCAGAATGAAGTACCAATGACTGTGGGACAACTACCAAAGGGGTAACATATGTGTGATATGTGTGATGAGAATACCAGAAGAAGAAAGAGAGGTGTAAGAGAAGGAGGAGGAGAGGAAACATTTAAAGCAATAAGGACTAAGAATTTCCCCCAAATTAATGTCAGACATGAAACCACAGATCCAGGATGCTCTGAGAACAACAATCTGCTTTTGCTACTAGTTTCAAATGATGTTCCTTGACACCTGAATCCGTTTGTGCATTTCCAAAAGTAGATACAGTATTAAAAGTACGTATAGCACAAAATTGTTGTAAAATTGTATGGGAAAATGTCCCTGGAATTACTTTTTAAACTGCACAGCCATACAAATGTACACAATTATTCAATGAGAATAGGGTTGCAGTGAATTCTAAAATAGGAATGGGGGTGTGGAGGTTTCTGGCAAAGTCTTACAATTTGTGGATAACTACTTTTTATGGTGTATTTCTGTCTTGTTTTTGAACTTGTTTTGAAATAAATAATGGAATGGTTGCAGCAAAGACAAAGATATGTTATAAAAAAAAAAGAAAAAAAGGAGGCAGGAATACTTTTGAATTTTTGCATTTAACCCAACAATTTGGAGCCTGCACTTCTACCATGTTTCAGCTTCTTGGAAACCCCTAACTCCCCCATTGTCTTCTACTCTCCCGGCTAACGACCTGAGACAGTTAAGCAAGTGCTTCCTGGTTTCCTGCAAGCAGGATTTTACGTCCTCTGATTGTGGCGTAGCCCTTCTCCCCACCCCCCCACCCCCCCGCTCCCCATGCGCATGCTCAATTGTGAGGTCACATGCCCTCCAGCATATAAAGCTGGACGCTGAAGCGTATCCCAGTTGCGCCAGGCAGTGCCAGACGCTTGGCGCTCTGGCCCCGGGCTTCTTGAGTCCGGGTGGCTAGTGGCCCCCTGCCCGCCGAGTGCCTCGGTGGCTGAAGAGGAGCTATGAGTATCTTGTTGCTCCTGGTAGGTGGCGTTCTGTTCGCCGGTATGGTTGTCTACTGGAGAAATCAGTTTCAGGTAAAGTTGTAAAAGAGATTGAAAAGAGATAAAGTTAAATGAATACATGGATGGGGGAATGTGTCTAACAGAGTAGAAAGATAGTAAAGTGGTAAGATAAGGGTGAGGGGAGGTCCCTTCATTCCTCTTTTTCTCTTGAAAGAGCCCCAGATGTTTATTCTTTACCCCCACACATCTTTCATCTTGACCAGTGAATTGACAGTTGTGGTCTGTTGTAAAAAGCTCCACATCTCTAAGTAATATGGTCAGCTTTTCACCCACTTAAAAGCTACAATTGACAGTGCCTACTCCAGACAACCACCTCTCATCTTAACCTATACCTTCTCTTTTCTTCTCTGGCTTCTACTACTCCCTTCTTTCCGTTTGACTTTTCCTCCTCTGTATTTTCCTTTTCAGCCATCTTTATGAGACCTTATGGGACATTCACAAAGAATTCAGGTCAAAGAATTCCTGGTGATATTTAAAGTTGCAGTCTGCGGCCATGCTACCCTGAACAAGCCCGATCCCCATCTTATCTTGGAAGCTAAGCAGGGTCGGGCCTGGTTAGTACTTGGAAGGGAGATCACCTAGGAAGACCAGGTGCTGTAGGCGAAAAACATAAAAATCAGAAATTTGTTTCTCACAGCTCTGGAGACCGGAAGTCCAAGTTCAGATAGATAGATAGATAGATAGATAGATAGATAGATAGATAGATAGATAGATAGATAATAAAGTTGCAAGTGATTTTAGGTAAGGGTCAGACAGGGTCCAAATACAGACCTACGGGACTGTCCAAGAAATGTAAGGCAAGGATATGACATTTTAGTCTTAAAAGACCACTTTTATATATTTTTCCCTCAGTCTGTATTTGGGAAGAGCATATTTCCAAATCAATGTAATCATTTAACAGATTTTTAATCTCTAATTCGTAGGAGAGGACAGTCAGTTCCTTTTGGTAACCAAGATTAAGCATGGTGTTATTTGGTAGGATTTTTAAATTGCCGAACTCAGTAAACTACATGGGTATAATTTCCTTCCCTTACAGAGAAACAGTGGTGAAATGCCATCAAATTCAACTTCTCTTGCACTAGTAAGACCATCCTCTTCTATGGGGTCGACTAAGAACAATACTGATAAGGATCTTACAGCCAATAACATCTCTCAGGATATCTTAATTAACTTCCCACACTCCATAGCCATGCAGAAACGAATATTGGTAAACCTCGGAATGGTGGAATACAAGCTGGCTGAATTGGAACATTTCCTAGTTACCAAGGGTTTTAAAGGTGCATTAGTTAACCGGAAATCCACTGGCATGCTTACTAAACGTATTAACAATGGAAGCAATCAATAAAGACACTTTGAGTGGATTCATTTGGTTGTATGTGTTTATATTAAACGAATTATTGTTTAAAAGGGGAAGGGATACCAAGTCCAGACGTTTATCAATTTGCTAGCTCACATTTATAAAATTGATTAGATGTTGTTAATATATTTTTTACCAGGGAAAAAATGAAAGCCCAATAAAAGCTCAAAAAAAATTTTAATAAGCTACAGTAAAAAGAATATAGTTAAGATATAGTGATTTTAACTTCATTGGAGTGAGAAACGTTTTTCTTTAATGGTTTACTGTACTGCATGTCTCCAAGTTTGCATTCAAATAAACAGGATTTGATGAGACACTTTCCATTATGCGGAATTCACTTTCTTACCATTGAGGAATCTCTGTAATGAGCTATCATTGAGCACTCTAAAATATGCCACGCACTCAGTTAAGATTTGTACTTTACACACTTGTGAAAATAGTCAATACATGCTCTTAGCCACCCATTGTAGTCAGCACTCAAAAGGGGATTTCTTCCCCATCACCACCTCTCATTCACATATTATTTCATTAAAATGTACCTAAATCTTCCTTAAATTGCAAGAGTCACCTACAGAAAATGTCATGCATTTTTCTACATGGTGAAAAATCCACACCTCAAATAGCACCAACATATAGTGATTGAATGCATGTAATGTGATATGGATTAAAATTAAGAGAAGAGAAATGTCTAACCAAAGCATTATATACCTAAAACTAATTTTAAAAATTAAGATAAAAGTATGTCTAAGCTCTAGTTACCCATCTATTTCATATATTATTTTAGAAAACCCACAGAACTGAGGAGTTAACAATCTGTTGACATTTACTAACAGCATTTGAACTACCTTCAAAGAAAAACTTCAAAATATCTAATATGAGTTCATCTTGTATATATGTATATAACTCACAGATTGTTCGATTGCAGGCCTACCAATTTTCTACCTTCGTGCCCCCTCTCGCCAAAACAAATTAGCAGTATACATTAAAGAAATACCTTAATCCCTTACTCCTTTTATCTTCAATCAAAAGGAAGAAGAAGAAAAAATTAAAATGTATAAGAAATGAAGGTATTAAATTATTCCTTTACTCCTTATATGCCAAGAACAAAAGCCAACAGTGTTGCATGTGGTTCTTAAACTTCTCTGCGTCATGGACCCTTTTGATGATCTGATGAAAATTATGGACTCTCTCTAAAAAAAGCATGCACATATGCACATAGAAAAATATTGCGTGTAATTTCAGTTCCATATGTCCTCTGAAGCCCAGGTTAAAAATCTTAAGAATAGTGGAAAGGTTTTTTATATCGTTAGGCAATATTCATCATCCTAGTCTGTGATGTTCAAACCAATCGTTAATTATATTTAATCAGTGTATAAAACTATTAGTGATATATGTTTTCATTGTCTTTTGTAGGAAAACTGGGACATAGGACTCTCTAATTTGGCTCCTCTCATCCTTGACAAGTTTAATAAGTTTAACAAGTTTATCTCCTATAAGTATGGATATTAGTTATTGCCCATAAGTAGTAACGTATTCAATAAGGCAAAATCATTCTACTTAATCTATTAACTATATATTACAACATAAGATCTTAAATTTGATTGAAGCCATTTCCTCATTGGTATTTTGTTCCTTGTTCTAGTTTAAATTAAACCTAGATTTCAGAGAGTGTAATAAACTACTCTTAATTTTATGAAACAGTAGAAAGTAGATGGGTCATATTTTTCTTCCAAATAGAATCTATGAAAAACATCATATGGAGAAAGAAGTACTCAGAGATTCAGGGGGGATTCTATTTCTAGATTTATTACTTACTGGCCATAAGATCTTTATTTTTCTGTGTTATTTCACTATATGTAAATAAAGAACATAACTATTAAGTTCACATAGAAAAAGTGAGCCATAAATACATGAAGTTTTCAGACATATTTGGATCAAAAGTATAATACTACAGTCCTTGCATTATGTACATAGTCCATTTTTTTCCATATATGTATGGCATTTCTAATTAAGTAAGGCCTTCAATTTTAACACTTTCTTTAAAATATACAGATTTATTTTCTCCAGTTTTATTGAAAAGGAAGATGATGTACCAAGGAAATAGAAACAAGTTATACTTAAAAACTTGTAAAATAGAAAAAAAAACTTGTAAAATGGAAAATATAACTATTTTCTAAATAATCAGCTCAAAATAAAGCCTTCAATGTTTTAGAAAAACATTATAGTAATATGTATAAAAATATTATCATGAAATAAAGACAGCTCTGTGTGTTATACAGATAGATAATCTAAAAAGAAATATAATAAGCCCATTGTTAAACATTACTAAATTCATATTTTTATATTACAATCCTGCTTACATGGGAAAATATTTTTTATACTATTATGACATAATGTATACATTTTTCTACTCAATTAACATACAAATAAATAAAAATTTTCCTCTATTCTAAAATAATAACATTACACAGGCACATATTTTTTTAAAATTAGATCTCATTCTGGTTTTCCTCTGCCACTGACAGTAGGTATTTCATGATCAGTCTCTTTTTTAGGATCTACCATGTCTTTATATCTCTCCCCACGATGTCGTTCCAGGTATGGCCCCCAGTTAGAAGCTGGTCTGCAGCAGCTTACAATGCGCTAAAATGAAAAGGAAAAGAAAAAGGACTTGTCTTAGAACTCAAGAGCTACAATCTAAATAAATAAATATAAAACTATATTTTCATTTTAGAATGTTAAATTTCTTTTTCATGGCCTTAGGGTGACAGCTAGGTGAGGATCTAAACCAATGTATACCTGGGAAGACTCAAGAACCAAAGGAAGGGGAGATCCAGGGTCAAACAATTGATCTGAATCCATTTTTGGATGGGCTTGGAAATTTGTTTTCTATCTAATTCCTGAGCCTATCTTGTCATTGTCCTATGTCTTAGTGAAATGTCATAATCAACTCCATCCCCCTAGGCCTTCATGATAGAGGGATGATTCAATCTAGTTTGTGTCCAAGATCATTTACCAAGCTTTTTCCAGTCTAAACAAACCTTATTAGGACATATGTTATAACCATACTAGGTTTTAAAAGTGAAGATTATAAGATATAAAGCAAAAAGATCATTTGCTTCACATCATTTTCAGGAACAACTTAACACAAGTATAGATATCATAATCTTTATATGCCACGCACTCTAATAGGGCCTGAGGTTACAGAAACAAGCAAGACAAGACACTTTCTTAAAGGAGCATACAGTCTAGTACAGGGAGACACACAAATATAAGTATAGTATAGTACGTTATGCATATAGTAATGGATATTTTTATCAGATATAGAAGTAGACTAAAAAAAAGAGTTACTAATTTGATCTCATGGTCATATATTATCACCACATGGGTAAATTAATCTTTGGTTTGATCATAAGTACTTTATATGAAATATAAATAATATTAATTTATGTGCTTACTTGAAAGATGTTTCCTTTTGCTTGAATTATTTTTATGACAGCCATAATTGGAATCCAAATAATGCAGAAAATAATCATACACCAACCTAGAGCAACTCCCCAGTCTGGGTATGGGATTTTAGCATAATCAGGTCTTTGAAATTTCACCAGTGACCAGATCAAAATTGCCTGTGAAAGTAAAATATGAAAAGACAGTGCTAAAGATTAGGCTTTATTGCACTAATGATTTCATTTACAGTAATTATTAGGAATTTGATCCCATTCCTTAGGAATAATTTATCAAAAGCAATTACAATAAAACTGTATTCAAGCAACTAAGATAATCAGGTAACTAGCCAGAAGATAACAATACTAAACAAACCAATACAAAATAACTTATATTTAGCTTCGAAAGATTCTTTCAGAATTAGCACCTTCATATATTTATAAAAAATACAAATGCTTTTCAAAATGTGTTTCAATAAAATGCTTTGCCATGAAACATAGCAGATTTAAAATAAAATAATATTTGAAATTTTCCGTATTCGAACTTTTAGCTTTCATTTATGATAGCATGATTTTATTCTATGTCATAAGCTAGCCAGAGTGTCAATTAATTCAATAAGAATGTTAAGTCCACTTTAGTGAACATGCTTTGCTCCTTGCTTAGTAATTGTTTCTATTATTTCCCACTGCACAGAGCATCTCTTTCTCCACACCCAAACACATACACATTCATACATTACTAGTACATTGTTACCAAAGAACACTTCATTTCCAGCGTTTTATTGAGGGGAAAAAAAAAAACAAGTTCAATGTATGTTTGGGTAAAACAGTGAAACATGAATCTTAACGCCGAAAACATTTTAAGGCCAAGTTTTTATAAAAATGTCTTAAAAAGCCTATTATACATGTTGCAGCATTAAAACAAATTATGTGTATAGAAATCTGCAAATTAAATAAAATAATCGAAACCAAAACTCACATAATAGTTTCACTAAATTTAGCTTAAAATGTCTTTAGAATTTTAGAATCTTTATAAATGGGAAAATCCAAAATAGTGAAGTAGATAAATGCTGTGCTTTCCTCTCTCCATGACTACATTAAAACTATAAATTATAGAATAATCAATCAGGGGAACCATCTGAAGACTTGCTGAATTGTGTTCTATAACTAAAGATATAAAGACAAAGCTGTGTCTAGACTGGTAGGAGGGGCGTAGAACTCCAAACAGGTTGGCCCCACACCCAAGTGTGGCAGTCAAGAATTGGGAGAACTATCTCAGCTACAGAGCTTCTTCCGGAGAAGTGAGGGGTCCCAGCTCCACACCAGGCTCCCTAGCCCAAGGTTTCAGTGCCAGGGAGAAAAGTTTCCACAACATCTGGCTGTGAATAAAAGTGAGAAACTCTGTCCGAGTGAGACAGAAGGTGGCTTAAAACCTAGGCATCCTCTTTAAAGGCCTGCGAACAGATTTGCTTACTCCCAGGAACTCACCCTGGGCTCAGGTGTAGGGACAGTAGCTCAGGAGGTGCCAGAGACATATGAGGAGAGATTGAGTTGTGTGGCTTCAGGGCAAGGGCTGGAAAGACAACCACCATCTTTCCTGGGTTAAACCCTCCCCGCACATGGCCAAATCTGAATTTGCATTGGCCTGGTGAATTCTGGTTGCTCTACCCAGGTGACTCCCTAGGACCCTGCTTGACCCAATTTAGGTGACACAAAAAAGCACTTTATGCGGCAAGTAGCCAGCCTTGGCTCATGTTCCATGGGCATCAGGCAGGTGGTGGCCAACCTGAGTATGCTCTGAGGCTTTTGCTGAGTGGTCACAAGCTCAGCACTGGTGTCAAAAACAAATCTGCATTAACCTGGTGAATACCACTCATCCCACTCTGGTGACTCTCTGAGACCCTGCCTCATCTAAATCTCAGATCTTCCAAAGATCTTTTAGAGGCTGAGCCTTATTGGCAGGAAGGTGGTGCCTGGACTTGGAGTTCCCTGGGCCATTTGTTGAGTTGCTACAGGCCAGGTACTAGTGTCAGCTGGTCTCTGTTCACATCATAGATTCTCCCACATGTTTCTAAGTTCAGCACAAGAAGCGACAAACTATGAATTGCTTTGTAGCTCCGACCAGATAGCCCTGGGCCAGTCACAGGCAATGGCTTACCTTGCCTTGCATGGCAGCCCCACACAAGAGGTCCCAGAACAGAAATATGTGGAGGCTGGCTTCAGATCACAGCATAGCACCACCTGATTAGCCCAACAAGTAGCACTCCCAAAGAGTGGTCTTGGCAGGCATCAGAGACTACTGGGGTGAATCATGCTCCATGGGGTCAGCCACAGCGTGAGTGACCAATCTTCTATACTGTGAGTGTGGCCAATCTTCACGACTAGTCAGCCTGAGGTTCAATCCTATTCACGAACGTGACAATAATCAAGACTCAACTACAACAGGAGGGCACACATAACCGACACAAGGGACACACCTGTAGCACCTGATACAGGTAAACAGGGAGACTGAGCCACTGGGCCCCCTAGGGCACTCACTATATAAGCCCATCCTGCAAAGACTGGGAGACATAGCAGAACAAATACATACATACAAACACAGAGAGGCAGCCAAAATAAAGAAACAAAGAAACATGTTCAAAGTGAAAGAAGAAAACTTCAGGAAAAAAAAAAAAACTAAACTAAATGGAAGAAAGCAACCTACCAGATACAGAGTTTAAAACACTGTTTATAAGAATGCTCAAAGAACTTAGTAAGAACTTCAACAAAGAGATAGCAAGCATTAAAAAAGAACATAGAAAGCGTAAAAAAAGAACCAGTCAGAAATGAAAAATACAATAACTGAAATCAAGGATATACTCTAAGGACTCAATAGCAGGTTAGATGGAGCAGAGGATCAAATCAGTGATTTGAAAAACAAGGTAGCATGAAACACCCAATCAGAATAGCAAAAAGAAAACAATAATAAAAAAATAAGGATAGTTTAGGGACAACATCAAATGTAACAACATTCGCATGACAGAAATACCAGAAAGAAAACAGAAAGAGCAAGGGATTGAAAACTTATTTCAAAAAATAATTATAGAAAACTTTCCTAACTTTGCAAAGCAAATAGACATACGAGTTAAGGAAGTTTAGAGAGTCACAAACAAGATGAAACCTAAGAGGCCCACACCAAGAAACATCATAATTCGAATTCCAAAGGTTAAAGACAAAGACAGAATCCTAAAAGCAGCTAGTTACTTATGAGGGAGCTCCCATAAGAGTATCAGTTGATTTCTCAACAGAAACTTTGCAGGTCAGAAGGGATTGGCATGAAATACTCAAAGCGATGAAAAACAAGGACCTACAACAGAGATTACTCTATCTAGCAAAGCTATCATTTAAAATTGAAGGGGAGATAATGAGCTTCCTAGACCAAAAAAAAAAAAAAAAAGAAAAGAAAACTCTAAAATAGTTCATCACCACTAAACGAGTACAAATGTTAAAAGGACTTCTTTAAGAAGAGAAAAAAAGGGGAAACAAACATAAATATAAATAACAAAAAGGCAATAACTATGTACCGATCAATAATTACTTCAAATGAAAATAAATTAAATGCTGCAATCAAAAGGCGTAGGGTAGTTTAATGGATAAGAAAACAAGACCCATACATATGCTGTCTACAGGAGACCCACTTTAAATTGAAAGACACACAAACACTGAAAGTAAAGGAATGGGAAAAGATACTTCATGCAAATGGAAATGAAAAAACAAGCTGGGGTATCAACACTTATATCAGATAAAATAGACTGTAAAACAAAGGCTATAATAAGAGATGAAGAGGACATATAATGATAAAGGGATTAATTCAACAAGAAGATATGAACATTGTAAACATGTGTGCATCCAATATAGGCACACCTAAATATATAAAATATACTGACCAAATAAGGGAGAGATTGACAGTCATACAGTCATAGTAGGGAACTATAACACCCCATCTTCTAGATCTTCTAGACAGAAAATCAACAAAGAAACAGCAGCCTTAAAAGATACACTAGACCAGATGGATTTAATTGATATCTTTAGAGCATTTCAACCCAAAGCAGCAAAATATACATTCTTTTCATGTACACATGGAACATCTTCCAAGAAAGACCATATGTCAGGCCACAAAACAAGTCTAAATAAATACAAGAGACTGAAATCATATCAAGCGTCTTCTCCAATCACAATAGTATGAAACTAGAAATCAATTACAAAATAAAAATTGGAAAAACACAAAGCACATGAAGGCTAAGTAAGATGTTATTAACAATAAATGGGTTAACGATAAGATCAAAGAAGAAATCAATAGGTACCTTGAGACAAATGAAAATGAAAAACAGAGACACCAAAATCTATGGAACACAGCAAAATCAGTCCTAAGCGGAAATTCATAGCAAAACTAGACTACTTCAAGAAACAAATAAACAAAAAATCTCAAATAAATAATCCTACCTTACACTTGCAGGAACTAGAAAAAGAATGGCAAACAAAGCCAAAAAAGAATATAATAAAGATGAAAATGGAAATAAATAAAATAGAGTCTAAAACAACAATACAAAAGAACAATGAGACTGAGAGCTGGTTCTTTGAAAAGATAAACAAAATTGATAACCTTTAACCAGAGCCATCAAGAAAAAAAAAAAAGAGAAAGAGAGAGAGAGAGAAAACCAAAAGAAAGAAAATCAGAAGTGAAAGAGAAGTGATAAATGACACCACAGAAATACAAAGGATTATAAGAAAATACTATGAACAATTGTATGAAAACAAATTGGACGATCTGGAAGAAATGATAAATTCCTGGAAACATACAATCTTCCAAGACAGAATCAAGAAGAATCAGAAAATCTGAACTGACTGCTTACTATAAACAAAATAAAATCAATAATCAAAACACTTCAAAGGAACAAAACTCCTGGACTGGATAGCTTTGCAGGTAAATTTTATTAAACATCCTCAGAAGAATTAATACCTATTCTTCTCGAACTATTCCAAAAACATTCAAGAGGAGGGAAAACCCCCAAGTTCATTTTACAAGGCCACTATTACCTGATACCAAAACTAGATGAAGACATTACAAAAAAAAAAAAATTATAGGCCAACATTACTGGTGAACATAGATGCAAAAATCCTCAAAAATACTAGCAAATTAAATTCAGCAATACGTTAAAAAGATCATATACCACTATCTAGTGGGATTTATTCCTTGGGTGCAAGGTTGGTTCAATATTCATGAACCAATTCACTTGATACCACCACATACAAAAATATGAAAGATTAAAATTCCTATGATCATATCAATAGATGCAGAAAAGGTGTTTGACAAAATCCAGCATCCACTTATGATAACTAAGCAAAGTGAAAACAGAGGGTATATACCTCAACATAATAAAGGCCAGATAAGATATACCCATGGCTAACATCATACTCAATGGGGTAAAACTAAAAGTGTTTTTCTTAAGATCAGGAATAAGACAAAAATGTACACTTTCACCACTTTTATTCAACATAGTATTCAAGTCCTAGCCACAGCAATAAGACAAGAAAAACAAAGGCATTAAAACTAGCAAGGAGGAAGTAAAACTGTCATTGGTTGCAGATGACATGATACTATTTATAGAGAACCCTCAATATTCCACCAAAAATATGTTGAAAGTGATAAGTGAATTCAGTAAAGTAGCAGGATACAAAAATAATATTCAGAAATAGGTCACATTTTTATACACCAATGAAAAACTGTCAGAAAGAAAACTTTTTAAAATCCTATTTATAATTGCATTAAAAAATTGGAATAAATTTAATCAAGAAGGTAAAAAACTTATACTTGGAAAATTATGAGACATTGAAGAAATAAATTGAGGAAGACACAAATGGAAACACATGGATAGGAAGAACTAACAATCATTAAAATGTCCATAGTATTCAAAGTAATCTATAGAGGCAGTGCATTCTCTCTCAAAATACCAATGGCACTTTTCACAGAACTAGAATAAATAATCCTAAAATTTATTTGGAAACAAAAAGGACCCCAAATAGCCACAGCAATCTTCAGAAAGAAGAACAAAGTTGGAGATATCCTGGTACCTGGTATCAAACTATACTTACAAGGCTATAGTAATTAATACATCATGGTACTGGCATAGAAACAGATACAGAGATCAATGGAATGGAACAGAAAGACAAGAAATAAATCCACACCTATATAGTCATTTAATCTATTACAAAGGAGGCATGAATATACAGTGGAGCAAAGACAGTGCATTTGATAAATGATATTGGGAAAACTAGACAGATACTCGCAAAAAAATGAAATTGGACCACTTTTTTACACCATGTACAGAAATAAACTCAAAACGGATTAAAGATTTAAATGTAAGACCCGAAACCATAAAATTCCTAGAAGAAAACATAGACAGTAAACTCTCTGACATTGCTGTTAAGAATACTTTTTCTGATATATCTCCTTGGGCAGAAGAAACAAAAGAAAAAATAAACAAACGGGACTACATCAAACTAAAGAGTTTTTGCACAGCAAAGGAAGCCATCAATGAAATGAAAAGATAATCTACTGAATAAGACAAGATGTTCGCCAATGATGCATTTGATAAGGGGTTAATATTCAAATTTTATGAAGAACTCATGCAAATAATTGTCAAAATAAAAACCTAACAATCCAATTAAAAAATTGGGAGAAGACCTGAATAGACATTTTTCCAAAGAGGACACACAGATAGATGGCCAATAGACATACAAAAAGATGCTCAACATCACCAATCATTAGAAAAATGCAAATTAAAACCACAGCGAGATATCCCTTCACTATTGTTATAATTACCATCATCAATAATCAATAAAGAACAAGTGTTGGTGAAGATGTGGAGAAAAGGGAACCCTTGTGCACTGTTTTTGGGATTGTAAATTGGTGCAGCCATTATGGAGAACAGATTGGAGGTCCCTCAAAAATTGTAAATAGAACTACTATATGAACCGGTAATTCCATTTCTTGGTATCTATCTGAAGAAAAGCAAAACACTAATTCAAAAAAAAAATATATGCACCCCTATGTTCACTGCAGAGCTATTAACAATAGCCAAGATATAGAAGCAATCAAAGTGCCCATCAACAGACAATTGGATAAAGAAGTGGTGACACATATATACAATGGAATGTTACTTGGGCATAGTAAAGAATAAATTTATACCAATTGCAACAACATGGACAAACCTAGAGGATATTATGCTAAGTAAAATAAGTCAGAGATAGACCAATACAATATTATCTCACTTATATGTAAAATCTAAAAAATAAAAATAAACAAAACAAATGGACTCAGATACAGAGCACAAACTGATGGTTGTCAGATGGGAAGGGAGTTGGGGAACTGGCTGAAAAAAATGAAGGGATTAAGAAGTACAAACTGGTAGTTACAAAATGGTCACGGAGATGTAAAGTACAGCATAGGGAATATAGTCAATAATATTGTATTACCTATGTATAGTGCTAGGTGGGCACTAGACTAATTATAGAAATGACTACTATACTGTAAACCTGAAACTAACATAAAATAATATTGAACACAACTGTAATTGAAAAGTAAAAAGATTTTTAAAATAAATAAATAAATCATCTTTATAAAATAATCGCGTTTAATTTTAGAATTAAATAGATTCATTTCACTCATTTAATTTAATTACAGTAATTTAAATGTATTTCACAATTACCATAATTTTACATGACTGAAAGAGAATGAATGAGGGTTAATGAAGTCTAATATGCACGATTTTATACAAAATGGTTGATGACATACATAATTTAATATTTAATACCTTTGCATTTTAAAGAAAATTCAGTTGTCAAACCTATGTAATCAATGAAAATTAGCATGCTTAACAATCTAGTTAGGTCTTCCAAATTTATACGAGGATTATTTTATTATGGAGACTTGTCGATACTTAAGCACTCTCAAAATCATTTAGTAAGAATATGGAACATCCAATATTTCAGTTCAGCACATCCAGTCCTAAGCTGCTGACAACTTGAAACCAACCTTATAATATTAAAAAAGTAAAACTTATCACCCTCTAAAAACAAACATGTTACTACAGATGTGAAGTAAATTCTAGATCAAATTATTTAAAATGGCCTTCTCCAGGAAAACCTTTGAGGCATGAGACAAAAAGAGCCAAATCACTTTCTTCATGATGCTCTGCCACTGCCACACCCCCACTATTATCTCTAGTAAACAGTACTTCTAAATACTATTAAAGTGTTTATTTTGGCATTCAGCCATTTACTGCCCTAAACTGTTACTTAAAGATAGCATGTCTATATGTTATGTCTCTCCAACAAGATATCTTTTGCTTTCCCTCAGCTCTGAAATAGCACCAATTGTTGAATTTTAATTAACATAAACATGTGCCTCTATTGACACAGGTGACTTTCTTTTAATAATTTCATTTACTAAGTACCTCTCATAAAGAAAAAATATGCATTAAAATCTGAATGTTAATTCTTAGCAATTAGTATATTTAGATTGAATTCCTTGAAGGCAGAGGATGGGTCTTATACATATTTTTTTTTTTATTTTTTGTACCTAGCAGACTGTATATGGCTTAGCATATTTTTTAGGAAATAAGCAAATAAATGATTACTTTTATTTTTCCTATTGGTAATTTTGAAATATGTAGGACTTTTAAGTCTGTTGGAGCCTATTTATTTTGGTAGATATTTAAAACTATGGCCTCAAAAATAATACTGCAAAGGCATTTTAATTTAGGCAACTCAGAGGCACCAGTCATAAAGCAGATGTTGAAAATTATTAATTTATGACATTAGCATATCGTCACCAATGTGAGTTATTCTTTGTCTTAGAAATGTTTAAATATATATTATTGATATGAAATTCATAGCAAATTCATACTTACAATCAATAGGATAGGAGTAATGACAAACCAGCAAGCTCTCCACCATAGCCAGAATATACACCTTTTTGCTCCAATCATCATTTCTATATCTGCAATGAATCTGTTCCCTCCTGGAAAAAAAAAAAAAGTGCATTCAGCTCTTGCTCGTAATTTCCTCCATTAGTCATCATGGCCTCAAATTTTCTGTCTGAACATTTTCCTGTACTTTGGCAATAAAACACATACACTTACATTTTATTCATAAAATATTTTTGTCCAGTTATACTTTCTTATTATAGTATACGTAACAAAAAAATCAAACTAAATTCTTTAATAAAATGTGTAGACAATTCTGTAGTCACTATTTACCATAAATCCAGATGATTCCTATTATTTCTAGGATAGCTGCAATCAAAATGCCCCATCCAGCACAGAAGTGGTCAATCAGATTAACCCAGTAAATTCCAGCCTGCCAAAAAAAAAAAATCGATTACTTCTAAGTATAGTTTTAATTATTTTTATGATTCATGAAATATTCAAAATGAATATATTAATTTGGTTTTAACATATGCTTCTTGGTTTTACCTCTGTCAAAAATGTAAAACTGAATGTTTTCAAATATGAACACAAATGCGGATTTAAAGTCTCAGAAACGATGCACTTTTTATTTTGTACTGAGTAACTTGGGAAAAAATAAGCATTTAGAATAGTCGATTTTTGAAATGATATGCAGTGTCTGTATATTCATAGTAGCTGCTAAGAAATATAGTGTATGTTTTAAGACTATAACTTTACTGTTATAGCCTCCTTCTCCTTTGCAAAATATACTTACTATCGAAATTGTGCTACAATGGGAAAAAAGTCTGGGCTAAAACTCAGAAAACCTTGATCCAAGTCAGACATGGACTTATCATAAAACACCCTCTTATACCTTGGTTTCTTCATTTGGATTATAAAGTATGTTCTAAGTAATATTTTGTCTATGGAAAAATACTGTAGTATACCTGAGTTACACAGACGAGACCAAGGAGAAACAAAACCAAGCAGCAGCCCAAAGTTATGGGAACCCTCATTTTCTTCATCGCTTTGGGAAATAAATCTTGAATCGTTGTTGTAATTGTTTCTTCAGAAAGAAAAAAATAAGGCACGTTATATGTGAACTCATTTGCCAATATGTTTCGTTAACAGAATTCAACTTCTATTAATGAAATGTATACATACATTGAGAATATAGTCTGGGCCCTACTCCTTGCTTTTAAAAACCAATAGGGTCCTTTCTCTTGGCAGTCATCCTTGTAGGTTCTGATAAAAATCGAATACAGTCTGATTTGTCATTTTTAGTCTGTTTTATAAGGTTTTTCATTGTAGCAACTATAAAGTAACAGGCGCCTAAGGGCTAAAGTACTTTGAGTTATAGAAAAGGAAGAATTCTAGTACAACTTTTCAATAAGGTGAATATTCAAATAAGTGTCATGAAGACAGAAAGGCTTTCCGTGTTTAAGAAATAAATGTGTTTATGAAACAGGTTATTGGCTAAAAGTAGAAAGGTATATGCGTGTTAGGATTAAGACATATGTTTGAAATTTTTGAAGACTTTGAAAGTCAGTTAGATTTATGAATTTGACCTCAAAAGCAAGGGAAGTAAAAGCAAAAATAAATGAATGGGACTACATCAAACTAAAAAGCTTCTGCTCAGCAAAAGAAATCGTCAACAAGGTAAAGAGAGAACCATCCAAATGGGAGAATATATTTGTAAGCAATGCCTCCAATAAGGGCCTAATATCCAAAATATACAAAGAACTCATACAATTCAATAACAGCAAAATAACAAATGATTCAATTAACATATGGGCAGAGGACCTGAACAAACACTTCTCCCTAGAGGACATACAAATGGCCAATAAATATATGAAAAGATGCTCAACATCGCTAGCTATTAGGAAAATGCAAATCAAAACCACAGTGAGATACCATCTCTCACCTGTTAGAATAGCTATAATCAACAAAACAAGTAGTAACACATTTGGAGAGGATGTGGAGAAAAAGGAACCCTCGTACATTGCTGGTGGGACTGCAAATTGGTACAGCCACCATGGAAAACAGTATGGAACTTCATCAAAAAACTAAGAATTGATCTACCATATGATCCAGCAGTCCCTCTACTGGGTATTTACCCAAAGATTTGAAAACCCATATCCAAAAAGATATTTGCACGCCGATGTTCATAGCAGCATTACTCACAGTGGCCAGGACGCGGAAGCAACCAAAGTGTCTGTCCTACGATAGATGATTGGCTAAAGAAGCTGTTGTATATACAATGGCATATAACTCAGCCATAAGAAGAGATGAAATACTGCCATTTGTGACAACATAGATAGGCCTGAAGATAATCATGCTAAGCAAAATAAGCCAGACTGAAAAAGTTGAAAATCACATGATATCACTTATATGTGGGATATAAACCTAAAAGCAACAAATGAGCAGGACAAACAAACAGAGACTCATGGACATGGACTATAGGCTAGTGGTTACTAGTGGGGTGGGGGCGGAAATGGGAGGTAGATGGGGTAAAGGGAGGCAAATATATGGTAGCTGAAGGAAACTGGACTTTGGATGGTAAACACACAGATGTCAAAATATAATGTACACCTGAAAATTATATAATTGTATTAACCGATGTTACCCCAATAAACTTAATTAAAGTTTTTTAAAAAAGAAAGTCAATTAGAGGAAGCTGGACTCTATCCTGTAAACAGTAAAATATTGAAATGTTTTACGTAAAGAGGGTGATATAATAAGAACTTTTTGAATTTCTAAGCATGTACCTTAGGGAAAATTCTTCTGTATACATAGGGCCATGTGCAGGAATAGTCCCGGCAGCAGTGTGTGTTAAGTTTTAAATACCAGAAGTAATCCGAACGTCCATCATTATGGCAACAGATTGTGAATTAACTAGATCTATATGTCAAGATGGATTCATAATATATGTAAAAAAATTGTCATAATAATGTGTATGGAAAAAAACTACATATTTATGTGAACACTTAAAAATTTATGTTATCTATGGGTACACATAAAATGTATACAAACATGGACTGAATAACATACATTATCCATAGGGATGATTGCTTCTAAGAAGGAAAAAATGTGAATTGTATTAAGGAGAGAAATATAGGGGACTTCAAATTCATCTATAACAGTTTATTTTACTAAAAAATATCTGAAACAAATATGATAATATATTAACATTTGCTCCTTGTGGGTGTCTGGTACATGAGTGCTTTGTATTTTAAAAATTTTTGTTAAAAAGAATTTCCAGAAAGATTATTCTGAGACTAAATGTTAAGGGGGCAACCAGGGTAAGAAAAGGATTTTTTAAGTAGGGGAAACATGAGTACAATGTAAGAGAGATAGGTTAATACTGGGAGTATTACTTACCAATGGAAGCAAACTGAGAGTCGAGACCCAAAGTCAAAAGCATGAAAAAAAATAATATGGACCAAAATGGCCCACCTGGAAGCTGGGCTAGAGCTTCTGGATAAGCAATGAATGCTAAATCAAAACCTAAAAAAAAAAAAAAAATGTACGGCATTTTAATTTAAATTCACTGCCAAGAAAATTCACATATTTGAAAATTCACATTTTCAAAATAAGATATTAGAAAAATCATATTTTAATTTTGCAACCCAATCCATGATATACATTCTTTAGCAACTATTTCACTTTCCCTTTAAAAATATTTGATTTGGTTGTTCTACAATGAGATAATGTAAACATGTAACATAAATTAAGTTACTGAGATCAGTAAATGGTACCTTTTTCACATAAGAAATCATAACTATTTCAATGATTTTGTTTAACTGGTTTCAATTTTTTTAAGATTTATGAAGAATAACAACTGTCTTAAACTCCAGAAACTTAAATTATATCACCCTATCTTAGCCTAGAAATTTTATCTTACACTATCAAAAAAGATATGTTTATGGAACTAACTTTTTAGTCTTCAACCATCTCTCAAAATATCTATCCAGAATCAGAATTGAATCTTATTTTCTATTTGAGGTATGTTACCTTTAGAGATGCTTTTTTAGAAAAGCATCTCTATATTATGTGATATTTAGTTTTAAGTATTTTAAATTTCTCCAACCTCCCAGAGGACCGACCTAGGATTCAGGAGAATTCACTTCTCGCCTAGGTTCTGTCATTCCTAATTATTTGATCTTCTGCAAGACATAACATTTCTGTGTATCCATCTGCTCCTCTGTATATGAAAAGCTAGACTCTAGATGATGTCCAAGGTCCCTTCTAGTCTTAACATTCTAGTCTCGTTCATCAGTCTCTCCGTCAAATGATACTAACCATAAATAAGAATTTAGTAAGGAATTCCTATTTAAAAGAATCCTAGAATTATTTTTCTAAGAATCTTTAGGTAGGTAATTAAGCTTCCCTAGCTAGTTCTTTAAAGTTAGGAGGTTCATCAAACAGATTACTTTCAAAGCAGGACACTCAGAGTCACTTGAGTTTATGTCTATGATATTGATGTGTTTTAAAAAATCAAACTCAATACTGTAATTGTACATAGAGGAATATATATGTATATATATCATATATGTAGTCTCTCCTTTACATATGTGTGTGAATACACATGAATATATATATATATGTAACTAACTTTTTAGTCTTCAACCATCTCTCAAAATATCTATCCAGAATCAGAATTGAATCTTATTTATATATATCAATATAATGCATGTAATTGTGCAGTAAGTAGTTCATATTAAGGACAAAACAAAATTCAGAAAAAAATCTTAAATAATTGTTCCCTAATATAGTCTTGTTTTCTCAGATCTTCTAAGGATTATTATATCATTAAAACAACCAAATTATATATAAGATGAAATGAGAAAGAAAATACAACACCCTAAATCTTGAGCACTTTAAGTAAATGCTGTAAAATATATTAGTGTTTCTCAAATGAGATACATTGAATTAATCAAAGTTATAATATATACCATTCTATACCTGATTTTACAACTTGAGAGACTTCCTTTCCAGATATGTGAGCCATGTGTCCCAATATAGAAAAAATAGCAAATCCAGCAAACACACTAGTAAGGCAGTTTGTCAAACAAACCACAATGGCATCTGAGAAGCAGTTGTTATTGAACTTGTTGTAAGATGATAGGGCAACTAAGCCACCCCAAGCCACCGAAAGGGAGTAAAATATCTGAGTGGCAGCATCTTTCCAAACCTATAAAAGAAAATAATTTAGTATTTAAAAACATACACTCTTATATTTTAATTTGCATAAAATATTTCTTATCACTAATGAATAAGTAGTATAAATAACAATGAAATAAACACCCAAGTACTCACTACTCAGCTCAAGAAATAAAATGTTATCCGTCTGTTAAAGACTCCTGTATGCCCCTTCCCGATCATATCACCCTTCCAACCTACAGTGGGAACTGCTGTCCAGACTTTTGTGTTTATTATTTTCTTATTTTTCTTACTACATAAATATGAACCCAAATATGATGGTGGCATTTAAATTTGCATGTCTTTGACTTTATAGAAGAGTTTTCTTATATGTGTAAACTTATATAATTTTCTTTTTTTCTTTCAATATTGTATGAGAGTGAATCATTATCAATTTGAACTATCTGAAAATACAATTTTGTAAGTGAAAAATAAAAGAATATAAGCAAATTCATATGATCCAGTTAAGTATATGTAGTTAAGAACATTTTTTTTTCACTGCTGTATTGTCTCACTATGTATACCACACTTTATTCTTTATCCTGTTGATGGACGTTTAGGTGGTTGAGTATTTTGCTACCAGAAACAATGTAGCCGTGAACGTACTTATATGTTTTCTCATACCTAGTTGTGGAACTGTGATGTCATAGAGCATATAAACTTTCTCTTGTATTAAATGTTGACAAATTAGTTTTCAAAGTGGTCATACCATTTTGCACTCCCACCAGCTGGGCATGAGAGTTCCCATTCTTCCACATCCTTGCTAACACTGGTCAGAATTTTTAATATGTTCTGATCTAGTGGCTGTGAAATGAGAGTTGATTATACTAATGACTTACAAGGTTTAGCATGTATTTATGTGTTTATATTCCATAATTTTTTTCTGTTCATATCTTTTGCCAATTTTTTTGTTTGGATTATTTGTCTTATTAGATCTCTAGGAATACTTTAAGTAATTTGGATTCTAATCATTTGGCTAATATATATCTATATTATATATATAAATACGTCCTCCTAATTTGTGGCTTATTCTTTTCACCACTTAATATTGTGTCCTTAGATGAACCAAAAATCATAGTGTTGTTTTAATGTAGCTGAAGGTGTCCGTCTTTGCTTTTATGTATCATCCTTGACTTTAAATAGGATTTCTTTAACCTAAGGTCATAAAGATACTATGCTATATTTTCTTCTAAAAGATTCAAAGTTTTGCAAATATTATTGTTTTCAATTCACCTGCAATTGATATTGTGCATTTTAAATGAGAAATCCCAAATTCTGGTCAAGATGATAAAGTAGGTAAACGCTGTGCTTGCCTCCTCCGACAATCACATCAAAATTACAACTAAACTACAGAACAACCATCGTTGAGAATCACCTGAATCAATCTAACTGAACAGAAGTCCTATAACTAAGGATATATAGAAGAAGCCACGTCGAGACTGGTAGAAGGGGCAGAGATGCAAAATGGGCTGGCCCCACAACCTCGTGTGCTGGATAAAAATCACAATAGATCTCGTAGCTGCAGAGGTAAACCCTGAGGAGTGAGGTATCCCAATCCCACACCAGCCTCCCCAGACCAGGGTTCCAGTTCCGGGAAGAGAACTCTCCATAACTTTTAGATGTAAAAGCCAGTGTAGATTGTGGCTGAGTGAGACAGAGGGCTGCTGGAGTACACAGGTATTCCTCTTAAAAGGCCCATGCATGGACTTGCTTACCAAGGGACTCACTTGCTCTGAGCTCCAGTGCTGGGACAGCAGCACAAAAGGTGCTTTGGACATATGGGGAGGAGCTGAATTGTCTGGCTTCAAGGTGAGGGCTAGAAGATCACCTTTTCCCAAGATGGAGGTGCTGGCTATTGTTTCTTTGTTGAGCCCTCCCCCCATCCCAGCATGCAGATGCAGGCAGTAGCCATATCGGAGTCTTCATCAACCTGGCTAACTCTGCTTGTCTCGCCTCAGTGATTACCTGAGACACCATCCCACCCAAACTTTGGGTCCAACCAAGCCAATTCCAGTGGCTAACCCATACAAATGGTCTGTAGTAGCTCATGCTGTGTACTGTCATAAAATCTTTCAAAGGTTTAGAAAAAGAAAAAAAGCAGCGTCTGAACTTGGTGTGCCCTGGACCTCTTAATAAGCAGCCCAAAAACTGACAGTAAGGACATCCAGCCTCAGTTCACAGCTTAGCCTCTCCCAGGCACTTCCAAACCCAGCACAAGTGGCAGCTATCTTCAGATCACTTAGTAGTCCATACCAAGTAGCCGGAGGAGGGCACAGGCAGCAGCTGACCTTTAGTCTTTAACAATTCCTTTCATAAGAGGCCTCAAAATCGACACACCAGATGGCCAGCTTCAGACCACACCAGAGTACCACTCAACTTCCTTCACAAATGACACACTCAAAGAGCAGACTCAGTAAGCACCAGAGCTCTGCTAATGAGAATCCTGTTTCATGGGCTCAGGCCCTGCAGAACAGCTCCTCCACTGTAGTTAATGACCAATCTTCACAACCAATCAGCCTGAGTATCCATCCCTCCCAGTGATGAGCAAACAACAATCAAGGCTCAACTACAACAGAAAGGCACACACAACCCATTCAAGAGACACACTTGGATCACCCAGCTCAGGTGACAAAGGAGACTGAGCCTCTGGGTTGCATAGGACACCTACTACATAGGGACACTCTTCTAAGACCAAGAGGCCTGGCAGCTCTACCTAATACATAGAAACAAGCACAGGGAAGCAGCCAAAATGGAGAGATCAACCAGGAAACATGTTCAAAATGAATGAATAGAACAAAGCTCCCAAAAAAGAACTAAACTAAATGGAAACAAGCAATCTACCAGATGCAGAGTTCAAAACCCTGCTTATAAGAATGCTCAATGGACTTAGAGAAAGTGCAAATATACTCTGTGAGAATATTACTAAAGAGATAGAAAACATAAAAAAGAAATGAGCAATATAATATCTGAAATGAAAAATACCTTATGAGGAATCACCAGTAGATGAAATGGTGGATGAAATCAGTAATTTAGAAGATAAGGTAGCAGAAAACACCCAATCAGAACAGCAACAAGAAAAAAAATTCAAATATAAGAATTGTTCAAGGGGCCTCTGGTACAACATCAACTGTATCAAAATTTGCATCACGGGAGTATGAGATAAAGAAGAGAGACAGCAATGAATTGAAAACCTATTTGAAGATATAACAGAAAACTTTCCTAACCTGGTGAAGGAAAGTGACATGCAAGCCCAGGAAGATCAGAAAGTCCCAATCAAGATCAAACAGCCCCACACCATGACACATTATCATTAAATGCCGAAGGTTAAAAACAAAGAGAGAATCTTAAAAGCATTAAGAGAAAAGTAGTTAGTTACCTTCAAGGGAGCTTCAATAAGACTGTTGGCTGATGTCTCGACAGTAACTTTGTATGCCAGAAGGAATTGGCAGGAAATATTCAAAGTGATGAAAAGCAAGGACCTACAATGAAGATTACTCTACCCAGAAGGCTATCATTTAGAATCAAAGAACAGGCACAGAGCTTCCAAGACAAGAAAAAGCTTAAGAAGTTCATCCATTAAAGTTTTATCATGGGATTGAAGCAATTTAGTCACATCCTCAGGCTCCGCTTCTAATTCTAGTTCTCTTGCTATTTCCACCACATCTGCAATTGCTTTCTCCACTAAAGTCTTGAAAACCTAAATGTCATCCATGAGGAATAGAATCAACTCCTGTTAATGTTGATATTTTGACCGATTCCCATGAATCACGAACGTTCTTAATGGCATATAGAATGGTGAATCCTTTCCAGAAGGTTGTCGATTGACTTTGCTCGGGTCCATCAGAGGAATCACTATCTATAGCAGCAAAAGCCTTACAAAATGTGTTTCTTAAATAATAAGACTTGAGAGTTGAAATTATTCCCTAACCCATGGCTGCAGAATGGACTGTTGTGTGAGCGGGCATGAAAACAACATTAATCTCATTGTACAGCCCCATCAGAGCTCTTGGGTGACCAGGTGCACTCTCGATAAGCAGTAATATTTTGAAAGGAATCTTTCTTTTCCTGAACGGTAGTTCTCAATAGTGGGCTTATAATACTCAGTAAACCAAATTGAAAACAGATGTGCTGTCATTCGGACTTTGTTGCTCTATTTATAGAACACAAGCAGAGTAGATTTAGCATCATTCTTAAGGGCCCTCGGATTTTTGGAATGGCAAATGAGCCTTAGCTTCAACCTAAAGTCATCAGCTGCATTAACCCGTAACAAGAGATCAGCCTATCCCCTTGATGCTTTGAAACCAAGCAATGATTTCTCCTCTCTAGCTATCAAAGTCTTAGATGGCATCTCCCTTCAATATAAAGCTGTTTCATGTACAATGAAAATCTGTTGTTTAGCATAGCCACCTTCATTCATTATCTTAGCTAGATTTTCTGGATAACTTGCTGCAGCTCCTACAGCAGCGCTTGCTGCTTTACCACTTTGTACTTTTATGTTATGGAGATGGCTTCTTTCCTTAAACCTCATGAACCAACTTCTGCTAGCTTTGAACTTTCTTCTGCAGCTTCCTCACCTCCCTCAACCTCCAGAGAATCAAAGACCGTTAAGGACTTGCTCTGGATTAGGCTTTGGCTTAAGGGAATGTGGTGGCTGGTTTGATCTCCTCTCCAGCCACTAAAACTTTCTCCACATCAGCAATAAGGCTGTTTTACTTTCGCATCATTTGTGTGATCACTGGAGTAGCACTTTTAATTTCCTTCAAGAACTTTTTCTTTACATCCACAACCTGGCTAACTGTTTGACACAAGAGGCCTAGCCTTTGGACTATCTTGGCTTTTGACATGCCTTTATCACTAAGCTTAATTATTTCTAACTTTTAATTTAAAGTTAGAGACCCAACTTCAACATTGTCATGTCTCAGGGAATAGGGAGGCCTGAGGAGAAGAAGAAAGGTGAGAGAACTTAATTTATTAATTAAGTTAGCCATCTTATATGAATGCCATTTGTGATGCCCCCAAATATTTACAATGGTAACATCAAAGTTTATAGATCACCATAATAAATATAATAATAATGAAAAAGTTGAAATATTGAGAATATTACCAAAATGTGACACAGAAACATGAAATGAGCAAATGCTGTTGGAAAAATGGCACCAATAGACTTGCTCAACACAGAATTGCCACAAACTTTCAATTTGTAAAAACATATTATCTGTGAAGCACAATAAAGCAAAGTACAATAAAATGAAATATGTTTGTATTTAGAAAATAGCCATTTGTAAAAATAAGCATGAGTTCTACAAAGAATACCACAGCGAACTAAAATAAATATCCATTTTGGATAACACTACTAGATGTGACTATTAAAAAAGTGAAAGCATTCTTAGGCTGTATCAATGCAAGCATAGTATATAGACTACACTTATTTTAATGCTCTTTGAAGTCCAAACTGTAAAAGATTATATGTATTTGTGAGATATGCAGCCATTATATGGAGATGGACTAAAGTTAAAAGAGGGTTACCTAATTCATATTCATAGCACATGTTTATGTTTCTGGTATTAGTAACAATTTTGATTATGTAATGCTTTCTACATTTCAAATTTGTATTTCAACTTCATAATTTATTAGGCAAAATTTGACTTTACTTTCAGAATATTAACTTTTGAAAATAATTAAAATGTATATTAGTTCATTAAACTTTCAACTATAATCTTTAAATCTACTATGAGTTTATCCAGTAAATCATAGTCCTAGTCATTAATTTGTAGTTATTCATGCATGAAATATACTTTTTCAGATTAATAAACCTCAAATCTTTTGCGTCAAATAGAATCAGTTATATGAATAAAATGACTTTTAAAATCCTATTGCCAAAAATGATAATCTCACTTCCAATAAGAGAGCATTAGTGTCATGTTAAAGCTAAGTCAGATATCCTTGTGGACAGAAATATTAATAAATTTAACCGCATATTCTTTTGCAAACTACTACATCATGACACTTTTATATGTAACCAAAAATTTTTAGTATTTGCTTTAAAGGTTTATCTCCGCAGATAATTTGAAACTCAAATTGAGGCATACCTCAGCTTCCCGAAGTTTTGTAAAATTTGATTGTGCTCCAATATAGTATGAAATGCCTTTCGATGCACCCTCCAGAGTTGCACCTCTTATTAAAAGGATGAGTAGGACAACATAGGGGAAAATAGCTGTAAAATATACCACCTATCAAAAAATACAATTTAAAGTTAATAAGTCATTTTTTAAATCATTGTATATAATTGTATACAAATAAAGTCACTAGCCAGTTAACATTAGTAAAATAAAGTATCAAAAATTTCGTGAGATTATTAAGTCTGATGATACCAAAGCAAAGTTGGCATAATTTCCTCTTTCTGTTCTCATTACTCTCAAAAGATCCATTTTTAAAACACTCTGATGTATGGAAGGATATTTTCCAGGTACATGTCATAAGTACACAAGATATCAGCAGTGATAACTTGGAAT